CGAGCCGCCTCATGGAGCAATCTCGAGGGGAGAAATTATGTGTTTTTTGAGTGGGTGATCAATCACGTAGATGGTAACCGCGGTCAATAACATTCTTTTGATTGTACCACGCACAGGTATACTCGGTTGTGATTTTTGCTCCTTGATGCCCTTTATTTTATCCGCAGCATAATACGGAGGAAAAGTTACTAGAGAAGTGAGTGAAGAGCTTAACGACTAATAATCCACTGCAGGCATCAAATTTTGTCCAGCAGGGTAGGCCATACGAGCATACAGCAGTTGCGGGTAGCTAGCGCAGCAGCATCCTTTTACATCGTAGATTGAATTTTTGTACTGCTAAATACAGAAGCATCCATGGCGAGAGCATCGTAGTCCACGTAGAGGTGACAGATTTGACCACTTATTGAAAGGGACAAAACCTGGGGACGACTTCTAAAGGCTACTCCAAGGTGCTTACCGACACCTTCCTGTCATGAGTCTTGTGAAAATGACGTTTCAGTTCTTTAAGATACCGAAAGCTGTTTGACCTTCAGGTGACCTGTATTGCCTACGTTTTGAGTAGCAATAGACGTGGGTTGTCATCTGCACTTCTTTCCTGATAAGAAACAGTCATTCTGGGGGAGCGAGGCAAACCAAAATGAAATAATAATGGGTTTGAATCTGGCTGCCGGAATATAAGCAGGCGATTAGCTTCGTCAAGAGCAGAACCGGAGTTCACCGATGTATTATTTTGTTGTGGACTAGCCAGGATACTACGGCGTGATAGGAAAATTATAGAACGAGAATTTTTTGACGCAATATTTAGAAGGCAAGCTGGTGCATGAAACGGACGATGGACTTTTGAATAGATATTTTTATTTTCACGATATTGCAAGGATTCATTTTCGAAGAGAAGTCTGGAGAACTCTACGGTGTAACATTTGAACACCAGTCATTTATGTCAATCCCATGTTCGCCACACTATCTTGCTTAAAATCATTCCAGAATAATTAGCTTAGTTCGACGTGCTATAATCAGAAGCTTTGAAGAATTCGACTTAGAAGCACATCTGGAGTTGTTTTGGGTGGAGAATGTTTTACCCGCGGTCGTTTAGACAAGTTTGTGGCCGCAGAAATACCACCTAGATTTGAAGTCCACAAACTTTGTACGTAGTCTGCGCAACAGAGATAAATTAGAAAAACAGGCAATCAGCGTGCTTAGCGCGGCAATTCCAAACGCCCGCTTAGCACTTAACATACGCAGTGATTCACATGCTAAAAACGAAGAGGATGCGATACTTTTGTCGACGAAATACCGCCTTCAGGATCTAACGTATGCTTTTTTCATTGTCACCGCAGCGGCCTGTATTTAGAAAAAATGATTATATGAAAATTTATTGAGGATATCATTTGCCGCATAATAGCAGTCCATTCTTCAAAAAAAGCAATAAGGTACCAATGCAGCGGTCCAGTATTTGCCTGGCAATCCTCGTCGCAACATCTCGTATTGTGCATTGAAGTCACCCAACTGCACTCTGGTTATCGAAATAAATTATGACGGTTAGCACATCTGAACATTTGTCAGAATAATTCCACCAAAATTCCTTTGGTTGAATTGGCCGACTTCAAATAATGTGAGCAAAACCGTCTTATCCGGGGAGATGTATGCAACAGTGGCCGTTTCACAATAACACTGCATGAAAAAAGTATAATACTCGTGATTATGGGTTGCACGCTTCGTGAAACCTTCTCGGGTTTTCGCCTCTGATAAATGGTTTAGGCAATAATATTCAAAACAATTCTTGCGATAATGCCGACTCAGTTTACGGCAAGAAAAACTGATTCAAATTGTCCTACCCAAAGATATATACGTGCATATGCAAATAGAGTATGATCAGGCTTGTTCAGTTCCAATAAGCAGGGTCAGATTTTGACCCCACAGTGACGCACTCTCACCAATCCCATTTAACAAACATAAACTTTCGGAATGGCTTTGTACTGCATAAAATCGTTCATCATTTATTATTTTCAATTGAAGAGAACCAAACTTTCAGTATGCTGGCGCATTTGCATACTTGTGGAATTATGGATAAGCCAATTGCGGAGTCTGCATTAATTTATGCTGAAATTCCATAGAGGATTTGAAGTTCTGGCCTCAACAGTCCGGCGTATATCATAAGTAATGCAACTGCTGTGGTAGTCAATATTCGCAAACTGTATCAAAATAATGAAGCAACTAACTTTTCGCGCCCGTTCTGCTGATTTCCTGCTAATATTTTGGAAATTATATATGTTGGGCCGCGTTTTCCGACTTGCCGCTTAAATTATCTCGCAGAAAATTCAACTTCTCAACACCATTACAGATCCGCTGATATTTCTGCCTGTATCACAAGCAAATTCCCTTAACTTTGAACAGAAATGTTTCAGCCTTAGAGGAACGAAGTCAAAACTAAATGGTTAAAAATGTGAGCAGGGATATATAGCCTAATAATGACAAAATAAATAGAAAATCCGGATCTATTCGGAATGACTGACAAATTCTGCGTGGTCCACCCTTTGAAGTAGAGCGTTCCGAATAAAAGCGAGGCCTAAAACCAACGATAAATGATGGTGCCCCAAAAATATGGAAGCAAAACACGTTTGAAGATTAATATAAATAGCGCAGTCCTTGCAAACAACTTGGTATTTATTATGGACGACTTGGCTGTTTGAATAAAATCGAAGCGTGATATAGAGCATATAGCTGTAATGCCTTCCTATTTTTCATAAAAAGAAGATGGACAATCCTGTGGCAGAGCCACGGGAAACCCAGATCACAAATAAACCAACATGTCACATGATAACAAATAATGAAGCATTTCGAATTATTTGCGAAAGGTGAGCTTAAACGTGCCGTATACACCAAAAGTGAGTGTGACCTGATCGTGTTGCGCGAAACAATTACGCCAACGTGTGTCTTTCATTCGCTGCTGCAGTTATCTCCAAGTAATTTGTGCGTTCGTTTCCAGAATTAAGGTCCATGGAGGGTCACGAAAAGCAAGTCGCAGAAAATTTATTGTTTTCTGCCCCTCTTCCATGAACCGGCGTGCTTAGACCCCACATGTATTGTTTCAACGTTTGTCACTGAGTTAATCACTGGTCTGCGAGCTCATCGTTGTTGAGTGTTCATGCGGAAGGCTGCACTTATTAAACAGTGAGTGATTACAATCAGTTTTTGCTGATAAGGAAGCTAAGTTTGTTTTAATCCCGTAAAGGAAGTTGCTTATTTTCCCACCAGTGACTGTGATACATATTGTTCTTGCGACGAGAACTGCCCAATGCTTGTTTGGGCGTATATCACTGTGCCATGTTGTGACAAAGCCCAATTGAGCATGCAAGATGAATACGATCGGTTTTTACCTTTACACAATCAACTCCCCAGTTTACATGCGTTGACTGCTTCGAAGATTAGATGGTTCATTCACTAGTGTTAATCGCTTGAAATTTTGTTGACCTCCCTCCCGGGCAGGAGCTTTCGTGATTTCAATTTACTGTTCACGAATACATTTAAATGTCAAAACATCGAAATACATGTGACTTGAGGCATTTAGAAAATGACCCGATGCCCTAAAACGTCCAACTGTGGTTTACTAGTCACCTAGTGGGCTTGATGCATCTTCTCATCAAAGAATGTTCCTGCGACCTTTAATTTCTTTGAGTTCCCTTATGGACTAGGGTGCATGCGTTCAGGTTTACTGCATAACCAATTTGGTGGCATCGTCAAAGCCTGTTTTTGATCACAAAAATCAAAACTGGATTGCAGTAAGGTGGAAAGGTTCGTATGTGGTGGTCTGTACTGCAACGTAATACAATCCGTGGCTGAATGGAAAATGATGTTATTATTTCGGTGGTAAATCCTTACTGCCATTTGCAGGCTGGACGATCGTGGACTCATAGGATCAATAAATGGAAATCGTCTGGATGCAGTGGCCGATTGCGGACACCGGAGGTCAGATTCATCAGCGATTTGTCAATAACGGATTACTCGGTTTAATCAATAGTCCGACCGGGTTTTGTGCCGAACAAAGTAGACAACCTCAGCTATGCGGAAAACTTTCACTGCAATTTACAGTGATCACAAGGAAAAGCTTTTCTGTTGACAAAATGTGCAAGGCGATGTAGACAGCGTGAACATAAAAACAAATTTATAGATAAATGCCCCCTTTTTTAGAGTAGACGATTTTGATGTCAGTTCACTTTGTGCTTAGTGATTGATGGAAAGATAAGCTTCCATTTTCTTCATGTTGCATATTCGTTAACCGGAAAATGATAGGTGTTTCGCACGCCTGTTTATGCACAAGAGAAACTGATTACTTCTCATGCACATTAATTTCAATATACTCAAACTTGTTCAACTGCGTCAGCCGGTTTGGGCTCATGTAGCATATTTACTTATCGCAGTTGCTTACAAAATGTTTGCAAAATCGGCCTGATTTTGTTCATTAGAACTTTCGGTGGCTGGTCGACCAGTTTTCGGATGATTAAACTGTACTTATGCGCGCCAAAAACACTTCCTGACCAGGCATTCTTTTAACCTTCCGCGTACGTATTGTACTATTTGTGTCCGAAATTTACAAAAAAGTATACGTTGAAATCGTACACCAATGTCATGCAGTTATTCGTAGGCGGACGTACGCCCCACACCCCGGTTTAAGAGTTTCCTGCTACAGCGGAATTTTCAGTAGACCAGCGAACTCAATCCACCTGTTATGGCTACCCATGTGATTTGGCAGTCGTCCTGTCAGGTAACTGCTTCATTCCAGTTTAAGCAAAAGTAATTTTTGTGCCAGTACCCGGACTCAAATATGTAACGTTTGGCCACATGCACGTTATTCTACTTCCTACGCCGAAGCCTCAAGTTAGTAACTCAAATATTTAAACAGTCCCCATATTTTATGATGGTTGCTCGCATACTGATAGGTATCAGCGAAGGATAAGGGTCGATGATCAGGTGGACACGTCTACCTATATATTAGCATGTAATTTATCACCTGCCATCCAAGATTGCGTGCAAACTATTGTACAAAGGATGCAGGCCATTATGACTGGAGGTCACCTACACATCCGCTGGGTACGGAAATCCTGCTCTTCAGGGAAAATGAAGGCTAACTGATCTTTGTTTTCATGATATGCGTCAAGCATTTAACTGGAAAAATCCAACATCTCGGGCAAGGATTCCTGAGCGGATGCTGAAGTTTGGTGGGGTATGGAATGTAAACGTATATGCTTTGAAAATTTCAAAATAAGGGAATCGGACGCAAAAATTTATCGGAGCATTTCCCAAATAAGATTCTTTGAAATCTGAACACAGCATTTTTATTTCACCAACATATTCAAATAGATATACTGCATGCTTTGACCTAAAGTGCCAAAGGGTTCAAACGACTATATTTTGGACATCAACCCTATGATGACGTTTATTCCATATCTAGCTTGCTGCCGGGAATGCCGTAACAGCTTTTTAATTTAATTTAATGAGTCATCCATAAATCGAGCTTACTTAATTTTGACCACTAATCAAGCACCAGCCGGTAACTCCATTCCTCCTATAAAATGAATGCTGCACAACATCTGGTAAGTCATTAGTTGCCGGCGTAGCGACTACATATATAACCAGACAGATATATTGTTACTTACTGAGCCTGAGGGCAAATACCACAAAAAATTCTCCAGCTTTACTTCTGCACACCCCCATGCTATGAAAGCTATACGCAATTTAACCAGTTGAATGGGAGAAAGACTATATCCGAACCTAACTCGGGGGTCGTGACCATGTTGGTAGTGAAACACTTAAGGAAATATCCAAGACCGACCCTCATCTAACATAATTTTGTACTTTATGGGAATCGAAGATTATCTGGAAGCGGCTGCCGAAACAACCATGCATTTTGATACATGATACATGGGTATCATAATACAATTGCTCGACGACAAAAATAAAGTTCAAACAAGGAGAGATTTCATAAAATTGCGCTGCCCATTTTCTACTAGAAAATAATCCGCCATTATTCCTTTTGTCCACAGAATCAGGGCTATTGAACCAGGCGATCAGTGCTGCATTGTACAATATACGAATTTTTAGTAGCCAGGAGGAACCATTCGACCTTTTATGTGATTACTCAGCCGTGGTTGAGCAAGTGCCACCCTCCCATTGTTTGAAATCTTATATCATCTGGGATTCCACCCGTTGCGATGGAACACACGCCGGCATAGTATTTAGCATTCTTTTGACTTGTCAACCCGTAGACGATCATAGATCCCTCCGCTTCTCCCTTAGCTAGTTTGCATTGTTTCATATTTTTTGACACAACAACAACGGTAGCTTATTTACCATATGGGGGTTCACGATCCCTGAGTAAACGCAAACTGTCAAAAGTCACATTGTAGCACTTCTCATCGGAGCAAACGTTCATGCAATTAGGCACCGAAACAGCAACAACCCCGAAGGGTTTATTGTAGCCACGAAGATAAAATGTCGATCCAACGAAATTGGTTTCATCACATATGAGTGTAACATGTCTATAAATCTACTCAGTCAATTCCTTTTGAATCCTCTGGCTAACAATTTAACTGCGAATTTTGTGCACAGCAAGAAAAATAAATGCACAAAAACTTTCACACAGCCTCATCGGAGAAACGTCTAAAAGCATGTACAAGTACTGCACGAATTTCGGACGGAATCGACCGCGTAGCATGCTTCTGCAATGTGAGGCTTTCAAAAATGAAGCCTGTGCTTTGCTCACTGTGCACTGAGCCACTGAAAAAAAGTGGAGCTGACTATGCATTACCTGAATTAATTGATTGCAAGCCATGAGCACCGTGTGCATCCCACCAGGTATTGGCGATTACAGATCACAACGGAAACTGTTCAGTTCCCAAAATTCGACTTATTTCAACGCAAAAACTACAAGTTGGATACATGTGATCCGATTTGCATATTTTCGACTTAAATGCCACATCTATGAGTCCACCTACACAGCGCTGCACTAAAATGTCCGCATAAAGTATCACTTCAAGAAAGGTTTTCAAGGCTGCCGTGTGATGGAATATCGTATAGTTACAATATGATCTTACACTTTTGTAGACGGAATTGTGCTCACTGGTTGACATTAGACGGTGAACTATTTATGTACGCATTAACAAAACCGCATCAAATTAATCGCTCGGTGATTTTGTATTGCTGTTTATGTGGCAAGCCATGGAGATTTCAAGCTTTTGGCTACAAATTCACCAAAGTACATGTGACCTGGTTCAATTTTTAACCGGTTTGTTAGCTTTGCTGCGTTGCATTCCAAAAGGCATTTGTATTCTTGTGTGGCTTTGTGATAACCTATATAGTGGGCAGCATGTGTATAAATTCTTTCGTTCGTCTAATTTAGTGAAATTAGTAAACCCCGCTTTTGGCCACAAGGGGTTACTATTCTTGATTTTCCGTTTTCCCATAAACACATGCCCGATTTAGGTATGGAGGCATCGTTGCGACTCCGCTGATAATTTAGCTTTAAATGCCGTTTTCCAGGCCGAAGACTGTGTTGGAAAACAAAAAAACGATGCCTAGAAGGGGACAAATCGTGGATCACATATATAGGAAACTGGCACGGAACAGCCAATATATCTGTCTGATTTTATCTACATGAAGGTAAGTAGATCTCAACTGCGGTAACAAACTGCCCCATTATTGGAAGCGAATCATTAGCCGAAAGTTGTAGTCGCCATCGCAAACAATTAGGACTCGACGGCCACACTCATCTCAAATGAAATCTTCGGATTACCCTTTCCTGAAATACGCAAGCGGTTGAAATCAAATGGGATAAAACTGCATCATATACTCATTCACAGACAGAAATGCGGCATCACCAGATAGACTA